TTAGTCACCGATACAGCCAGCTGTCTTGTCTCCAGTCTGAGTCGAGTACGGCTTAGAGGGGCAGCAGGAGCATCCAATGGCATAGTGCAGAGCTTTGTTGGTGCTAGAAAGACTTCCATAGGCGTAGCTGGAGCTCAGGGCTAAGCTTGGTAGCAACGGTGGGTAGGGAATTGCTAGGCTTGCAGGGATGCTGTTTGCCCGGGACGTAGGGGCAGATCCATAGGTGTATCGTATAGAATTGAGATGTGCAGTTGGTGGGGAACTAATAGGGGAGAATGCTGATTTGAACGGCGTGGATCCAAACGTAGGGGGGATGTAGGCTTGTGGGAAGAAGCTGGAGTCTGGAAGTCCGGATTGAAAAGCTCCAAAGGCGGCTCCAACTCCTAAACCACCCAAAGGCAGAGAGATAGGGGAGGCGCTGTGGCCTGTCTGAAGGTCGGAACTGATACTACTAGAATTGTGGTTGTTGAGAACTTGTTCAATGGCTTGGACCATGTCGTTGTTGCAGCCTTGGAGAATCAGCTGCAAGACACCGCGCTTCATGTGTGGAAAGACACGGCACAGCATGTTAAGCGGAGACCTCTTACTGGATGACGATGCTGAAGACAGCATCATTTCTTCTAGAGACATGGCCTGGCTGTAGAACTCTGATTTGGTGGCAGCTGCAGGTGATGACAGCCGGGACTCTCGAGATGGCGTCCGATAAGGAGAGGCTGAGCCTTGAAGGATTTTGGGCGAGTAACTGTCTGCAGTAGGAGTTGGGGATCGGACGTGTAGTGGGTCGTGTCCTTTTGCAGATTCACTTCTAGGGGAGTCAACACCAACGGGCGATGAAGATCCAGAACTTTGCTCTTCGGCTTCAGTATCTCTGCGGGGTCTCTTGGCAGCTGCAAAAGAAAATATACATTACTTTAATACACGATGATAATGTTGTTATACTTTATGTAGGTTAGGATGTAATTAAAGTGCCCCACTATATGATGTCTTCTTCTTCTGCCTTTCTATCCCCCAATGGAGCATAGGCCCTCAACCAACTCACGCCAAGTCGTTCTATCCTTCGCCATTACATGGAGCTCTCCCCATGTCCTCCCAATCTTTCTAACCTCATTCTCCAGCTCTCTTCTCCATGTGTTTTTTGGCCTTCCTTTATTCCTATGCCCCTGTGGGTTCCAATGCAAAGACATTCTAGTTATGCTGTTCTCCTACTATATGATGTACTTGCTATAAACTGTTCTTTTATATGATGTATTTTTTGTCAAATTTTATTGTATAATATTTCATCTGATCTTGTTCCTCGCGCACCTGGCGGTGTCGATGTGAATTAAAATTTATGGGAAAGCGCCCGCTTGTGTGATTCGGAAATGGGGATTCCTAGGGACTCTTTAATTCCCTTTCTCTACTGCTAATTGGTTTGCCTCTTCTTCGCTTCTCGTCTGATCTGTACATCATTGCTTGCTGTGGTATACTGTCTGCTGAAATTGCAATAATGTATTTACTGTAAAAAAAAAACATTTTAAAGTCAACCTGATGTTGCATCTGTGTATCTTGCATAATCACACAGCCGATCAGACCAAAACTCTTTATAAATGTATCTGTCTGTCTGTCTGTCCCTCTGTCAGTAATTCTGTTTGTTTGTCCCTCTGTCTTTTACACTCACCTTCACCCACTCACTACCACTCTCTCACTCACTCATACTCTCATTGTCTTTCTTTCTCCTTGCCGGTCACATTGACGAATAGAGTGCCCGTTCGAGTGCTTTGCATGTTAATGTTTTCGTGGACTCTCTTATTTCCGCCGTCCATCGATAGCACCATTGGCTTCTCTTCTGACTTCCACTTGGTCTATACATTATTGCTCGCTGAAGTGGCCCGTATGTCGTTAGTAACAGAGATCGTCGACCTATTTTACACCTTATTTGTTAATTAGGTAGGTAGGTAAGCTGTACCCCACCAGGACACCACAGAAGCGATAAACACTCAGTGACACAAAGTGCTACAATGCGGATGAGGGTCATCCGTGAAGAGGTCCCAGAAACACTTTTCAGCCGTTAGGCCATATCTATGTCCCGGCTATTTTCAGGGCCCCCAGGCAGAAGCCAGGGTAATGCTTCAAATAACACAAACATTGCATCCCACACAGGGACGACGATTGATTGTAATTGTGTAATTACCTCTTTCTGTCCCAAGGTTAGCGCACAGTTTATGATGGACTCTGTGTTATGTACCTGTGATTAAGTGTGTGATTGCACTTCCTTTATTTTGAAGGAGAATACTAAAGAAATCCTGCAATATTTATTTTACAAAGTGCACAGATATGTTCTGCTTATAACGCCTTGTGACTTCGTTATCATTATTATTTGAAGGACGTATTGTGTATATAGGGTTAGACCAATATTTTATAGACCAAAACGGCACTTGGTGGGTGATGTGGTCAGCAACACACCGACCGTTTTTACTTTACAGTATGTACCTTCTTCTTCTTCTTCTTCTTCTGCCTTTTTATCCCCCAATGGAGCATAGGCCCTCAACCAACTCACGCCAAGTCGTTCTATCCTTCGCCATTACATGGAGCTCTCCCCATGTCCTCCCAATCTTTCTAACCTCATTCTCCAGCTCTCTTCTCCGTGTGTTTTTTGGCCTTCCTTTAATCCTATGCCCCTGTGGGTTCCAATGCAAAGACATTCTAGTTATGCTGTTCTCCTGTTTTCTCAGTGTGTGCCCTATCCAACGCCAGCGTCTTTTCCTCACCTCCTGATCCACTGGAACCTGTTTAGTTCTCTCCCAAAGTTCTACATTAGTTATTCTATCATACCATTTTATTCCCTCTATTCTGCGCAGGCACCAGTTAATTAATGTCTGTAATTTATTAGTAATTGCCTTCGTTGTTCTCCATGTTACCGCCCCATACAATAGTATTGATTTGACATTAGAATTAAAAATTTTTAGTTTAGTATTTCTTTTAATTTCTTTTGACCTCCACAAATTCCCTAATGCTATGAAAGCCGCTCTTGCCTTTTGTATTCTTATTTTAATATCTCTATCAGTTCCTCCATCTTTATCTACATTACTGCCCAAATAGGTCTTGGCCACTTAAAGCTGGGTGTATCTGGGAGCCAAGGTCATTAAAGAATTTCCGGCTCCGTCAGGACGCGAACCCACTACCTTGGAATCAACAAGCGAGTGTCTAGACTACGGCGACACCCCGTTGCCATTATTGTCTCAGCAGTATTATTTGCAATATAATAATCTAGAACTAAATCAGTTTTAGTGTGATGCTGTCACTACCCGTTGTGCCTATTTATACTGCACGAAGCAACAGAATGAAGTCGATACAAAGTCACTGAGTAATGTCATTGTTACCTCCTCCTAGACTTCAACTGCTTAAAGCGAGATGTGGGAATTCCCAGCTACATTAAGGCCACGAATGGCACGTTTCTTTTCACAGGTGGTTTTCTGCCTTTGCAACAGCTCGTTCAGACTACATTCCGCAGCCATTTTTTTTTTTACTTTATACACATGGCTTCTTTTTTCTAGAACAAAAGGTGGCGGTACTCACCATAAAGTTTATTAAAGGGGTGCTGGTACTCAACACAATGTATCTATTACAGTAGCCGTGTTTACAAAAATGTGTTGGTACTGCGCCCTGTTACGTAAACTAAGAAAAAGTCCTGATTTTCTGTATTATAAGTTTAGTTTAGTTTAATTTAGTTTAGTTGAGTTTAGTTTAGTTTAGTCGACAGATCAACATTATGGAGCACGGGTGTAACCCATAAGTGCTCCGTACGACTTCTAACTTAAACCTGAGTCTAAAAATCTCAGCTGGTTCTGCAACGTCCTGTAAAGGATTCGCAACTAACTTTTTACTTATACAAATCATCACGATTGTTCTAGCCATCATAGCCTAACATTGATAACAGGTAATGTTCCGGACAATAAAAGTGACCGGTGTGATGTTAACCACATCGCCAACCGTGTGCTGACTGGTCTATAAACTTATGACTCTTATCATCACATGTCCAAACTGTCATGGCGTTGTCCCAACTGTCATGGCGTTGTCCCAACTGTCATGGCGTTGTCCCAACTGTCATGGCGTACAAGGGGATTTTAAAAATCTTTAATATCATAATCATCAGTGCAATGATAATTAGATCCTTGCATGGCATGTCAGGAATAACGGTTGGTGGGCATATTGTTAACAACCTGCGATATGCTGACGATATAGTGTTGATCGTTGAAAATGAAACAGCTTAAAGCAATGATTGATATAGTTGTAATGGAAAGTGACAACAAGGGTCAGTTTGAACAGCAGAAAAACAGAAGTAATAGTTTTTACAAAGAACAATGACCCTCCAAAATGTAACATCAACGTAAATGGGACAAACCTCAAGCAAGTTGATATGTTTGAGTACTTGGGTACCCTGAAAACATCAGATGGAAGATGTATTGAAAAAGTTAAATGTCGAACAGCCCAAGCAAAGGCAGCATTCTACGAAATAAAGAATATTTAATGCAATCTGTCATTTGAGACATGAAAGAGAACTCTTAAAAGCTATATAAATCCCATATTGATATACGGATGAGAATCATGGACAGTTATTAAATTAGTGAATACTTATTTGGAGGCTGCGGAGATGAGGTTTTATATACGCGTTATGGGAATACTCTGGACCATGTTAGGCTCGATTTCAAAAACAGCTGCGACTTGCGGCAGCCACGGTCGGTGTTCGAAACCGGGCGGTCCCCGGGGTTCACCCAGCCTCTAGGAAATGGGTATCAGCGTTGAAACTGGGGTAAATTGAGAAAAGTCGCTGTAGCTACAGAGTTACGTGCGAACGGCGACAAAGGCGGCAATTCTTATCAGCTGTCTGTACTGGTGGCAGAACACCTATGGTTTATAACCGTGTGCAATGACGCTGGTTCACATCTCCCGACTTTACTTTTACTTAAGATAAAAAAGAGTAATGAAGACTTCTTGAAAGAAACTGACTCAGAAGAGAACTGATTGCCCACATCAGAAAGAGACCATCTACATTCGTTGGTCATGTGATGAGGAGAAAACTGGATATCATGACTGTAGGAAAGTTGGAGGTGGTTGGAGGGAGGGGGGGGGGGGGTGGAAGAGGGAGACTGAGAGAACAGATGCTGGACGGTTTGACATCATGGCATTGAAGATGATCTGTATCAGAGTTGCTTGAAAGTACAGGAAACAGAAGGTTGTGGATAGACATGCCTACCAACGCCACACGGGATGGACTTTGAGAAGAAGATCACAATCACCATGGGTATCATAATCGTCGTCAACAGCGCTTCTTTTCCCCTAGAAAAAAAGAGGTGCCGGTACGCACCATAAAGTATCTAAAACAGGTGCCTGTACTCACCAGAAAGTGTCTGTTGGGGAATGAGGCTTTGACAATCCCCGTGTGGGTTCCGGGACCCCACTGTGGGGAATACAAGAACAGACTCACTACCTACTCAAAAGCATGTCGTAAGAGTCGACAAACTAGGAGCTTTCTTTGAAGTCAGAATGCATCTGCTCGAGATTCAAGGAACCAACATTTTGCATACTAATGAGTGAGGTCTGTAAAACCGATGTGCACGCAAGGGTCAGATTCTCCAGCCAGACTAGAGACCAGAAGTAGACGAACAACAGACCTTTCCGCCGGAATTTACAGCTGGTAAATGCGAAGAAGAAGAAGTTTAAAAAATAGTTTCCTGTCGTCAATATTATCAACAACTATTTTATCCCGCGGGATAATATTGTGGTTGCAACCAGGCAACGAATGTTGAAACATGTTTTTTTTTTTTGTTTGTTTGTTTACATCGTTTCGTTTTCTCCAGGCTCTGTTTTTTTTTTTTTTTCTTCAAGATACTTTTTTCCCCTCAGAAAT